TATATATATATATATATATATATATATATATATATATATATATATATATATATATATATATATATATATATATATATATATATATATATATATATATATATATATATATATATATATATATACAAGCGCTTGGGAACTTCGTGTTTTCTTCTTTCCTTGTGGTTATCAGCATATACCTAGATCACGCGCACCTACAGTGATTTACTTGCATATATATATATATATATATTTCTTTTCTTTTTTGTAACTGACAAATTTTCACTGACGATGTGAAAAAAAATACTAAGATTTGCTTTAAAAGAACCAAAAAATAAATACATCGATATATTTGTCCACAAGAATAAATATTAAAGAAAACTTTTAAACATTACTGAAATATTAAAAATCAAGTTTAATAATACGTCTACATACCACTATCAAAAAATAATAAAATAATAATACAAACTTTACGTCCAAGAGAAAACTGAAAATTACATTAAAACCAAAACAAAATGAAAGTTAAATAAACCTAAACTAAACTCATGAAAACGTTATTATAATTTGCTCAAGTTTCTCAATATGATAATTAAACATGGAATCCAAATTAAGTTAACATGAAAGACAAATAAACATTTGAATACATTAGAAATTAAATAGAACATGTTTTTTCCATATGTAATTTACGTACCATTTGTCCATTTGTTGCGGTGAAGGTAATCTGCTAGTAGCCAGCCTGTCAAAATAGGGTTATGGCTAATCTCAGCGTAATCACCCGAGCATTGAACCAGAAAACACACCGTTGCTGTTTCCAGAGATTTCACGCTACGTTAGCCTCACTTGTTTTTACAATAGTGATGGTGTGTGTGTGTGTGTGTGTGTGTGTGTGTGTGTGTGTGTGTGTGTGTGTGATATATGTTGGAAGAGAGAGAGCGTAAGAAACGGACAGAGAGGGGAAAAAAGAGACGAGGATAAATACAAAAAGAATTGAACAAATATAATGTAATGATGGAGAGAATGAGGAGAGAGAGAGAGACATGCATATAATAACTGAGACACGGAGAAAACTAGAGAAAGAGAGAGAAAGAGAGAGAGAGAGAAAGACAAATAGGATCTTATAGAAAACTGGGAAGGTAAAATTTCAATAAAATTTACCTAAAGAAGAAGTTTAAACAATGTTATATCTACAAGTCTATATACATATATTTCACACTTAAAGAACACCCTAAGATGAAGAACAGTTTTCTAATCCATGGCCCTAGAATTCAACACTGCTTAATATATGTCCACACGCTAAAATTATAAAAGACACAAATACTTCGTTTATTATTATTTTGTTTAAGAATTATGTTCTTACGTGCATTATTTGACGTATTCAGGTGGGTGATGACGGAACAGTTGGTATCAATAGTAGAGGCCTGGGTTAAAATCCTAAGTAGTCGTGGTTTGATACTAAGAGGAGCTCAGGCAACCTTGTACAACCAGCCGTGTATACAAATCGCATCTCATAAAGATTAAGCACCTCAACTTATAACACCTGATGATTTAACACCCTAACGCTTATCTAACCTAATACCGCCCAGTTAACGTTAGAGTAATTAATAATAATCAAATCAAATATGCTGAGGTGTCTAATCTTTACGTAATTCTCTAACTCTTATTGTTATTTAACTAAAGAAACACGATAAACGAGGAAAGGTTGTCAGGTTGAGAATTAGAAGCGGTTGGCCGGAACACGAACAAAATGTTGAGTGGAACGCGTCTATGATGACTCGGGTGAACGCGCCCATTATAATTGGAATACTTGCTTATTATACACTGAATTCCAGCTTGTCTTTTTCATCACCCAAACACCAGCCAAAGAGAATTCTCATATGTTGATTGTTCGTATCTGTAAGGTGGGTGTATCTGACTTATAGACTAATAGTTATATATAAATTAGATAGTGGTGATAGTGTAGAGTTTGGAGAGAGATAAAGAAAGACGCAAGAAACAGAGAAACAGACAGACTAACTACTTAATTGAGATGCGTTTTAAAGGGACACTCGTTGTTTCGGCAGGACGGTGGTAAATTATTTATCATACCGATTCTCTACACACACACACACACACACACACACACACACACACACACACACACACACACACACAGTAGTAGTAGTATATAAACAGTGAGACAAAAGACACATGTATAACAAAAAGGGGAACTTGAAATAGAAACAAAGGGAAGAAAGAAAGAGACAGACACATAAAAACAAAGAAATATAGGGAGAAAGAGAATGGGAGATAACACCAATCTCACTTACCTTCACAGGTACTGCCTCCACACTGAAGGCTGTCAGGGATACAACACCGAGAGACGGCGCTGCAACTTCTTTTCCTGTAATGGTAGGTCACTTGTACCTTGTATATATATATATATATATATATATATATATATATATATATATATATATATATATATATATATATATATATATATATATATATATATATATATATATATATATATATATATATATATATGTATATATATATAGTATAAAACAACACATGTTCATATATAAAAAAATAAAAATGAATTCCAAATATTTATAGTACTTCTCTGTCTTCTCACCTCTACTACTAAAACCTCTACCACCACCATTATTTCGTCCACCAACACCATCACAAGTCCGACGGAGATATTAGTGGTGGTGGTAAGCCACCACTAATATCTCCGTCCCCTTGCTACCTTTACCAACACTATGCCACACATACAGTTATTCCCCTACCAGTTCTACCACTTCCACACACATCTTTATCCCACCCCTTACCACCACTACCACAACAACAACAACCACCATTTTGACTTCCTGTGCTCGTCTGTCCTCCTGCACAGGCACGCTTGATGTCCTCCACCTCCACGACAAGCGCTACAAGCCCACTAAGTTCGGATGGCGGGAGTCGAGCACCCGCCCTGGGTCGTGGAGGGCCGTGAGGAACCGCCCGCTTCTGGTGCACACTCGGGACATCTACCCTGGAGGCTTCCCCAAGGAGTTTTCCATTCTCATCACCGTCAGGCCAGACCTCGGCAACATGGTAAGTAGGTGTTGTTATTGAGTGGTGAGGAGTAGGTGTTGTTATTGAGTGGTGAGGAGTAGGTGTTATGTGTTTGAGTGGTGAGGAGTAGGCGTTGTTATTGAGTGGTGAGGAGTAGGTGTTGTGTGTTTGAGTGGTGAGGAGTAGGTGATGAGGAGACGATGCTGGTGTTTGTTGAGGGTCGTGATAGTTAAAGTGTCGCGTCTGTTTTTATATACAAGTACATAAAGCCAATGACATCATCGAGAGAAGGGAAGCCTGGCCGCCTCCCACTGCCCGGTACAAAGGGAATGTGAGATCTTAAGCCTCGTCAGATGCACAAAGCCCCTAGATGGAATCACAGTGTTGCCCAAGAAGGATGTCATACAGCTGGTGTGAGATTAAACATGTGCTTCCACTTTAACACTTTACTACTTCTCCCACAGTGAAACTATGGCAGAGGGTGCAACAAGCTTTAAGGAGACCAAGAAGAACTGAACATAGTGTGCATTTTGCCTTGGTTTCATCTCAACAGGGTCCGTAACTGCTGGGACCTGGGTGACAGTGCCTTGGAGGTCTTGGATGACCTGAGTGTCAAACTCAGTGAGGTCACGTGGCAAGAATCTCCAAGGCAGCCATTAATGTATTCGTTTTAGAACTACTGCTTTATAATTCAGGGTTTTACAAATGAAATCAATAAATTACTACAGTGTAAAGTAACCACTAAAAACATTACAGGGAGTGGTAAGAAAATGTCGTGTTCAAATGTAAACTTGGACAATTTTCCCTATTTTTCAGGAATGATTTTAAGTCTCCTTTCTGAGGCTGTCACCTAAGCCTTAGTAACAACCCTGTGGAAAAAAAAAATATTGTAGTTTCGGTAGACACCGGTATCAGGCAGGTGGCCACCGATTGAGTGTTGGACAGTATATACACTTTACTGCAAGGGGACAAGGAACTGGAATGTTAATTTCAGCACCAAGGGACCCGACCAGTGTAGCCCTTTAATTTTATACATCACTGTGCGGAATGAACTGTGTTAGGTGCACCAATATGAAGCACTGTGTGGCGGTGCGACACCAGTACAAACAACGACAAAATTAAAGCCGATTATTTTTATCAGCAAAACATAAACTTATTATAAATGTAAATTATGTTAATCTTAGCGAACACTAAGTGAAATACAGTTGTCCCGCTGTCACCACACGGAGCCGTCGCTGATGATATGCACAGCCCTGGAAAATTAAAGGTATTTCTTACCTTTCACTACTAAAAAGTCTATGTTGTTGATACAAGTTATCAGCTCTTTGTTTATACTGGTAGCAAACATCCACACATTGTTTTGTTATTAGTGCACATTACACAGTTCATTCGGCACTGTGACGCACAAAATTAAAAAGGCTCTATTTAATATTCTGGACCGTCAGGCCCTGGCAGACGACCTCACCAACACGCTCCCTATTATTGTGATAGTGACTCTAATCTCTGTATACATCACTTTTTACCAATGTATAATAGTTTTGTATGTGTGTATGTGCGCGTGCGTGCGTGTAAGAATTTAATGTGAATGAATGTGAAGACAATGTTTGCCACCACAACAAACAAAAAAAGATCATTACTCACACCAATAAAAGACAAATTTATTATAACTTTAAACGTAATTAATCTTAGCGAAAACTTGGTAAAAATACAGTTGTCCCGTGGCCACGTGTCCCCTGTCCCAGTTACCAAGAGTGAAGAAAGGCGGCGCTGTGGCTGACCATATGGACGGCACTTGAAGGACTCTTGTGTGGCCAGATAGGGAACGTTGATCCTGGTCCTCAAAATATCTCTCCTTGATCCTTCAAAATCCTCTAGATAAGAGATCCAAACGATGTGTAGAGTCTCAGTGCAAGTTCGACGAGATTTTCGCCTCTTTATCTTAGTTCTATTGAGTCACTTAGAGGAAATCTCACACCTCCACTTTGGCTAACATAAAATGTGAGAACCTTTGAGAATCTTCCTTTGTATCATAGCTTAGGTAAGGCAGTTGAATGTGTTCTTGCATCTCCAGTCGTGTTGAAAATTTTAAGGTATGAACTTTTGTGAATCTATACCAAGGCTTCTGGAACATATCTCGATAACTTCTTCATTACCATTATGAAAGAGATATTATTCGGTGACAATTTACCTTTTTGATAATGAACAAAAGAACGAACATCATAGCTTCTCAAAGACAGACAAATAAGCTAGACTACAAGTTCTCTACAGCCTTATCTATTAACAAAAATAGTCATTGATACGCTTATTTTTATCTTCAATGATAACTTTTCCATAGTGAATTAGTGACGGGAACTTTTTCTTTAAAATAATTCTCCTTGAAGATTTTTAGTGAAAAGTCCTTGAAAGGATTCCAATACGACTTCATTCATTAGTGGGACCTGGAAATAAAGTCGCCGACAAGAGTGCACTTAAAAAAATTCGCGTAGGAGGAGGTATATAATATATATGTATATATGTGTGTGTGTGTGTGTGTGTGTGTGTGTGTGTAACCGCAAATAGATGTGGGTAAATTATGTTCATTGATATGTAACCGTAGCTCAAAAGGTTAAACGAGGCGGTACTTTCAGGTTTTGTGTGTGCTGCGTCTCTACATTGTATATTGTGTACTAACTCATGTGGTGTATCTCAGGGTATGTGATGTACTAACTCATGTGGTGTAGTAACTCATGTGGTGTGTCTCAGGGTATGTGGTGTACTAACTCATGTGGTGTATCTCAGGGTATGTGGTGTACTAACTCATGTGGTGTATCTCAGGGTATGTGGTGTGCTAATTCATATGGTGTGCTCAGGGTATGTGGTGTACAAACTTATGTGGTGTAGTAACTCATGTGGTGTGTCTCAGGGTATGCTCTTCATCATGCATCGGGCTTACGGAGGTGAAGTATACCTGGGTCTTGGACTGGGCACTGGCCTGGAGCTGCTACACACTGGACCTACAAGAGAGGATGACGTCCTGCCCATCAACGTGGCTCCCATCAACGTCAACCTTACCGACGGACATTGGCATCAGCTGGCGATCAGGTGAGATGAGGAGTGAGTGGATACAGATGGGAGTGGTGGAAGAAGAAAAGCGAGGTGAGGACTTGACACGTGTGGTAGTAGGAAAGGGATAATGTATGAGGAATGGAGGGAGGAGGGGGTGTGGTAGTTGTAAAGGGTCTGCCAGGTGAGTTAGGAGGAGACGAATGGACAAGTATGGTGAAGGTAGAGGTTAAAGGGAGAGGGGGCTAGGGGAGTGGTTACCAGTGCGGGAGAGATGTGAGTGTGCAACAGAGGTGTCACGTGGGTTCAAGACGTGAGTTAGTGGATGTGGTAGAGATGTGACTGTTTTAGAAGTGAGTGGGTATGGGGGAGGTCGGTGACGTGGGGAAACCAGGGAAGGGAGATAAATTTAACAAATGACAAGTAAGAGAGGGAGCAGAGACAGAACAAGGAAAAGAGTGAGAGGAGAAGGACAGTCATTTCAAAAGGTGAATAAATGTAAAATAAAGGACCATCGAAATTTAAAAACGGAGTTTACATTTTCGACAGTAAATGAAACTCTTATAGTCTTTGGTGAGGTACTGGGAACGTAAAACTACCTTCCGGTACATTGTTATTGTATATTATTGCTGTAATATATATACGGGTATATATTTTACGGGGCAATTAATTATACATGTGCAATGTCACTTTATATGCCAGAATGCACAGCAATTACTCAGAGCTTATCTATTTCAAATATCAATTAACCGGATTCGTGTGTTTTGTTGCGCAATGCTCTTAACAAAAGCCGAACAATTGAACTCGGTAAAAATATCAGTCTCTTTGTTTCTAACCCAAAACAATGGTGTTATTCCTGCGTAGTTTCAAAGCTTTGAAATATTTTGACTGAGGTTCACAGTGCAACAATAAAACGGTTCGAAAATATAATAAAAACAGTTTTGGCAACTGTTGATTACCAGACTTAAATTATTGGTATATTAGGAGTAAAGACTATATATATATATATATATATATATATATATATATATATATATATATATATATATATATATATATATATATATATATATATATATATATATATATATATATATATATATATATATATATAAGCCGACATTGTTTAAATATTTCCTTGTTGGTAAACGAATTTTCGATTTGCTTCATTTGTTGTGACTGGGGAGTCTCCTGTCACCCCAGTCGTAGAAAGGGGACGTAATTTCATAGGTTGGGGGAGTGAAGGGCGGTAGGCTGTACGCAGTATCCACATTGCCCCTAACTCGCCATCACTCCTAAGGGACTCACTTTCATTGCTTGGGTAGTAAGTAGTGTGGTATATACGACGGTGTGCGGCAATTTCCGGTGGTGTGGCGTGACGGTGTATCCATATGTAACGGTGTTTTACTACAAGTGTTGGTATGTGATGGTGCTTGACGGAATGTGGCGATACGGAATGGAACGTGACGATGTGTGATGCTGTATAAATAGGTAACGCTATGTAACAGTGCATGACGGTTTCGTGACAGCTTGTAATGATAAGCGGTGTGTTAAGAAGGTATATGGCAAGTGACAGAGAAACTAACATGGCATTTATGGCAGCAAAAGGAGACACGGACTGGTGAACACAAGACAACTTGGTGTTAGCAGGTAGAAAATGGTGAACTTATGTAATGATGGAGGATTAACTTTAGGTGGTGCCAACAATGAAACAAAATAATCCCTTATAATGAGGTAATAATGATAGTGGTGATGATCGTCAAAAACAGAATGCGAATGATGATGATGATGATGAAGATGAGGATGATGATCGCTGTTTAAAGTAATGAATATATAATTGATTTTCGACCTTTCTTTTTCCTCATTGGTGATTTCCTTGGTGATGGTGACTGCTGCTGCTGCTGCTGGTATCGCTGGGCTGTACTTCTGCTGTGGCTGTTGCTAATACTACTGCCCCCACGGCCTCAGTGTACTGGAGGACAACAGCATCCAGGTGTACGTTGACTGTCGGTGGATCAGTCGACAGATGCTGCGACGCTCAACGCTTGAGATCCCCATGGACACCCTACTGTATGTGGGGGGCATGCCGGGACGGAGCTACCAGGTCAGTAGTCTCTCTCTCTCTCTCTCTCTCTCTCTCTCTCTCTCTCTCTCTCTCTCTCTGACACCGAACAAACATCAACACCACAAGTCAGCTTTAGAAGTATCGCCATACATTTTGTGTGTTTAAAAAGCTGCCAGTAGGGACGTCGAAGAGAATTTGAGTGCAAAGAATTATTCTAACAAATATTGCTGTGGGGGGATACCTCTTTCACCAATTGCGTCAATTATATCAAAGGAAAACCAATTCAAGAATGTCCTTCACATCGAGGTGAAATCTATAATTAAAGACATTTTTCGTGCCGGGAGTAGGTGAAGAACCACATTTATCCAACAATCCATTAAAGAAAAAAGCTAAACACATCAGCGAGAAACTTTGATGGTTCAGGTGTGAAAATGGAGAACTTTTGGAAGTATTATTATCGGAAGGAAAAGCCTTTGAAAACCTCAAATTCCCTGATATTATAATGATGCCACCTGGAGGAAGAAATGAAATTGAGAACGAGTAAAACAGGCATGAAGGAATGACAGTTAATTAGTAAGTGTTGTGAGAGGCGTAACGACCAGGGAGAGAAGAAAACCGTGAACCTGGAACTTATGGATTTAACTTATTGAAGAACACATTAAATAAAGCAAAAAATATTTATGTATATATTTTACAGAAGCATTTCAAACTATTAAATATATCCTCGCATGATCTAAAAAAAGATGATCATTTTTCTTAACTCCTGACCCGATATCCAGAGGGAGAGTCGAGACAAACATATTTTCAGGGACTCTGCCGTGACGGAGGAGCACCTTAGCGGTAGTTCTGACTCAGAAGCTCAACATGTGCTCTCCATTCTGCATCACGCTTGATGTGGCTCCCGACAGGTGAATAGCCCCCACGTTCACCCAGAGAGACGACGTGAATAACACTGTCATGAGCCTCACTAAACCTCTATCATCAGTTTATTATAGTGTCGCTGAGTTACCATGACATCCCGGAATAGGAACTGTCAGCATCATAGACCTCTTATCTAACACTCAGAGACGAAAACATTCTAACTAACACATCATGTGTGTTATGGTGACATTGAGTTACCACCACACTACGGTAGTCAACGTCACTGTTCACTTAACTGAAGATCGAAGAATAAATTACCATAAAGCTTTAATATAAAATCCTAATCATCATATTTGTAATGGTATGATAACACCCTAACACGGACTTAACGATCGAAGAAAATATTACTTTATAACTTGACAACGAAGACAAATAAACATTCGCTAAACCGTATCTATCATCCTATCGACAAACTGACTAAATAAACTATAAAAAAGAAGTTAACATAATTTATGGCATATCACTAAGTAAAAGTGAAGCACCGGTAGAAAGAGGAGTGTGATAGTTAAGCCTCTTACCTCGGGAGAGACTCAATGCTGTCTGGAGGAAATTGAAGATCTCTCAAGAGACAGAAGTGGAATACATAAAAGTTAGCATGTGATGGAGATTTAGTCTACCTTCCTAAAGAAATATTTATATAAAAGTTTTATTTTTCACGGGGGATTGCTTGATGCAGGTGAAAGTCAGTTGAAGGATATATATTCCCTATACAGTATGGTGTTCTCGTAGGCAAGTAACTTTTAAGAAATTCACAATAAGTTACAATAAAATCTTGAGAATTTGAGGCTGATGGTAATTGGCACATAAAGATAGATATTTAAGAGAAAAAATTAGTAAAAAAAATATGGATTAATAATTTTACAGCCAGAGAGAGAATAATAAACGGAACCAAACTCACATAGAAATAGAACTTCCTCAGAACGAAGATAACACCAAAAAATTCTAATCTTCAGAACATTTAGTTATAGTTCTACACACACCAGGAGTAAGAGGGAAGAGATTACCACTTGGTATAGTTAGAAATAAAAAGAAAACACTCACTAACGTTGGTGACATCCCTAATAACTCATATCATTGTATCATAGCTGGATTCCGAGTGACAGCAAAGTAGTAGTAGTAGTAGTAGTAGTAGTAGTAGTAGTAGTAGTGTGTGTGTGTGGCGAAGACAATGGCATAACTGTAGTGTTCTTTAAGGGTCTTGTAATCATTTCGTGGAGTAGAGAAAATTACTTAAGGGTGTTATGGCGAATGAGTGCAGAATCACCAAGGAAATGAACCATGATTCTACAGTATTATTGTTATTTTTGTTGTTATCATTATTATTATTATTAGTAGTAGTAGTCGTAGTAGTAGTGGTAAATAGTATTGTTTTATGCTCTGCCCCGAAATTTTTTTCAATAATTACCATGTTTACTTCATCACTTAACCCTGTGCATTTAGATTCATAATTAATTTATCCAATTATACATTCACTCGCTCTTGTCAATGAATGGTTAATTAAGTGAATTAAGCACTTAATTTAATATTCAATTATTGATGGTGTGCAAATGAGTACCATTCCCAGTGAGAGAGAGAGAGAGTATTATCGTCGTCAGCAGCGTGTACACAACCACCCATCACCCTTAATGTTTCAATAAACTTCATGTGATCTCCTGCGGTTAACTTGGGTCCATAAAGCAGAGTCCTGGTTCCATCCATGGGAGTCATGAACCTTCCCTCATCTCTCACCCTCGGGTTCATTAGGCAGTTTCCACAAATCCACCGAATTTAGAAGATGTAGTCGACTGTAATGGTGAGAGATTACTAACTGGTAGATACTGAGTGGTGCCATTACCAAGCTGTAACCCTTAACCATATGATGTTTGAACCCTTAAATTACAGCACCTATAAGGGGTTATTATGATGAATAGTCTATCACTATAAATTACAAGTCTTTCTGCTCTTGAGTTATGCTGTGGATATAGTTACATAGAGACAGAGTAAACATTGGTATGTCAAGTGTTCGTGGCCTAACTCCGCTTCATGAAAGAATAAATTTCAAAACTCACGGAGAAAAAAAAATATATAGAAAACGAAAAAAGAAATGTAGTATCTATGACCCGTCCGTTACCATCAATAAACGACAGTGAATTTGGCAACGAGTCATGTAGCGTAGATTAGTTATGGTCCGTTGTATGTAAAGACCTGTGTTGTATAGTTTAGTTCTTTCTAGGTTGTAAATCAGGCGAGGTCTCACCCTATCTCTTGTCCTATGTTCAAAAGTTCTAGGTAAAATTATCTGTGTGTCGTGTTTATGTATAACGTCATCAGAGGTATTTAGCTTACCCACAGAACTTACCATGACCGTTTGAGTTAATTAAAATCTATGTTCAGGTAAAAATTTGCTTCAAGAATTTTAAACGACGTAAATGTATATGGGAAGTTTACAATACTCATATACCTTATAATAATAATATACAAACACACTAAAAATTTAAAATAGCTTCTTTTCTTTTCTTAATATTCATGGCAGAAAATCTCTCTTTTTATCTTCCTCAAATTACGTCACCTGGATGTGTGGGATATTTCTTACGCCAGATTTTTTCTTCCAATTAAAAATGTGATTGTATTTGTCACGATTATTTGGGCGTGAAAACATGCCAATAACACCAAACTTGTTAGCGTCACTTAGAAAATTAATAGTTCTCTGGAGTTGCTAAATCCATCTTTTTGTGTTATATTTTTATTTTAGTTTATGTTTTTTAAGAGAGGGAGAGACGTATATAGATAGATAGATAGATAGATAGCGTATCACAACTCAATAGTCTTTTTTTACAAGGATAGTTTGACCTTTTATATGATTTACACGTGATACGGGTTCAGGGCTTTTATATACAGTATGTAAGATAACAGCTAAGCCCCTTCTTTCACTTTTCTGACCGTGATGAGCAAGTTTCCACAGTGATGGCCCCTTCCCCCTCTTCTTCCCCTCAACTCATGTGGTTCTTTTTTTTTCACTTTTTACACACACACACACACACACACACACACACACACACACACACACACACATTACTAAAACAAGCGTCATCAATATATTACCTTCTCGTAAAACTCACACAAGTTACTCCATAAAACTGTCTCTCTTAAAACTCATAACGTAGAGCTTTGACTTTCATATTGAGACCTGAATTTTTACTCCAAGTTTACCAAGAGTCAATACTTTAGTTTTTATTCACTAACCATTCTGTGTATTCTTTTTTTTTTTTAATATTTCTGTGTTTTTTATTTAATATTATTGTGTTTTGATTAGCTAGTAACACTTTAGCTATTTACTTTTACCTCTCCTAGAATCTGTTCCTTTAGGCTTTACTCTAGACTTACTTAGCCAATGAAATTAACGTTTGTCAAAAAGTCCACTGTGAATGGCTGTTTTGAGATAGGTTACTCGCGTGAGCTTTTTATGTCAGTTTACATGTTGCTTTGTGTGTGTTCAGTAAGACCTCGTCATCGTTGCCTGCTCTGTATTGTAAGTTCTGAACTAAAACTTTTGGCTATTATTGCATTTTCAACCAATATAGGTCTCGAATTGAGCAATGTGTTTTCCGATGGTTTGGACAATTGTATGACACTTCTTCTATGACGTCAGGAGGTTGGGTTAGGTAATTTGCGACGGAAACATCATAGCAGAAGTGTCTTAAAGTTGTCTGAACCATCGGAAAACACATTGCTCAACTCGAGACCTATATTGGTTGAAAATGCAAATTGACGAAACTTTATAGGTTTTAATGTAGTGCATCTATAATGTTCATGTATAAGAATAAAACATAGTTGCTTCTATTACTTGTGTGTGTTTGTATTAACAGTTAACGTAGCATAATTTTCAGTTAAAATTTCTCTATCAAGTTTTATCATTTTACCATGTTCCTTCTCGTTAGTATATACATAATACAACTGTCAGGTTCTAACTAATCAAACACTTCTCTTCCTTAGTTCGTAATGTGTTACTCAGTTGTGATTCAAACTGTGTTAACTTCTCGTTCCATCGCTTCATATTTATTTTTGTTTATCCTTTTTTCCTATGCGCCAGGGGGAGATGGAGCAGTTCACCATCAGTAGGTCTCCTGACGCCGTGGCCAAGCAGTGCAAACCAGAACCCATTCCAATCATCGATAAAACCCTCCAGGTACGTTCCAATCCCCTAGTTAGATTAGTATGAGATTGGGAAGACATATCAACAGAGTAGGTTCATTAGGTAAGTTCTTATACCGAGCTGAATCAACGTGACTAGAAGAAACAAGATTATTTTGTAAGTCACCAAGGAAGGTCACATTCTCTAACGATCACTCAACAGGAAAAGCGACATTATGTTATAGGTTAAGCAATTATGTTCTGTTATGGGAGCGAATTTTCAGGTACAATCACCCCAAAAAAATCCTGTCGCGAACCACGAACCCTTAGATTCAGACTCGTGAACCCGAAGCAGTAGTCACTGATACATTATTCTGTCCATAAATGCTTCGGATTCAAGAGTCTGAATCTCGGGGTTCATGGTTCGCGACAGGACTTTTTTGGGTGACTGTACCTAGAAAACCAAGAAAGCGTTGTAATTTAATCCGATTTAATATAACACACGAGACTTTGGGTATGCGAATATAATTTTGGCCAGATTAAACTACTTGTGTTGTGTTCGAACAGTTTTGGGCCAGAAAGAAGTTATCCGGTTACTTGATGTTGACTGTGTTTATCTTGTGCTGTAAGAAGGAAATGTACGCCAGTAATACCTAGGGGTTTGAGTCTAAGGTTAGTATTTAAGGCCAAATTCAGTGCCGCCTTGCCAGTAATACTAGAGAGGCGCCAGGTGGGGTGTTCCTTCCCACAGGCTCCGTTACATACTGCTACATTTTATTTCACATTTCTGCCATTGACAGCTCGTATAAAAGAATAGTAAAAATGGCGTTATTTAATTTTTTGTCCAGTTTATAGGATTTTAAGTAGGATAGTAAAATATAGTTCAAAACATAGTTGCAGTGACAATAGCTCATCCACCTTTATTGTGTAATATTTTGGTACCAAGAAATATATATAGTACCTTCAATAGAGTATTACCCAGTTATCATGGGTAAAGTCCTATACAGATCTCATGGGTGACACTCACTGTTTATGAAGTTTGGTCCTAAGGAAGCAACTTGCGGTAAAAGTTAAGTAGGGGTCCGCCACTTTTTCTGGTATTTTATTAATGTAAATTTTCTGATATGTTTATTAGGTAATGGTAAAGCGAAGTTAAGATTGGGAAAAGGTCGACCACGGAACTTCATATTTATGTTTATATATGGAGAGGAGGAAAACAAAACCATTTTATTACATCTTACGAGTATTTTGGATTTCAGTTTCACTCAGAAACTTACATTTTGGCGTGAGACACCGTTTCCATTTGACTCAAGCTCCAATCACCTTAAGTCTCGTGTCACGTGACTATGTCCAGCCAGTCAGTGATGCCCTCGATGTCACATGACTATGTCTCCTGTGTCTAACCAATCAGTGTTGCTCTCGGTGTCAGTAATACTCCAGAACATCCTCAGAATTTCAAATTTTAGCTTGGTACTGGCGTTCAATCTCAGTTTGGTAAACCATTCATTGCATTTGAAAACGATGCCGCTGCCATTGACATTTTTAAGACTCATAGTATTCTGCCAATCTTTATGAAGTGCTGCAGGCGTTCATCCTCAAAATATAAAACGATTGTGGAAGAATATCTAGAGTTGGGTGCTTCGTGCTGGCAGTAAGAAGGAACATTACCTACAGTATTTCGTTCTGTATACTCTACATGTTCCAAGCCGAACACAACGATCACATGACTACACTCCATCACTTATGGCTCTTGTTGCCTTTGGAAATGTTGTCGGGGACGAGAATCACCCACAGTGAATTTGTGTAAAAATAAAATAGTTAATTTTCTCTTTAAAAAAGATAATACTGGAAAGAGAACTTTAGAATGACTTGAAAGGAGAGGAAGCTGCGGTGTGAGTAACGTCACTTAATGATGGGGATATTATAATTTACGTCTTTTGTAAGAATGAATTTCACTTTTACCAACTGTGTGTGGACTAAATGCCGGTAAAGAATTACAACATGGCAAATGACGCTTGACTTACATTCTTAGGAGTCATTTCGCACAGTCCAGTCTACCACATCCTTGCCTTCTACCTGTGATATCTGTTATAGCTCTCTTAGTTTATACTGTAAATAAGCAGAGGGATCAAACCTTCTCAAACACTTAAACCATCGTCATCAAAGTGTTAATACACCCCTCTTTATATATATATATATATATATATATATAGAGAGAGAGAGAGAGAGAGAGAGAGAGAGAGAGAGAGAGAGAGAGAGAGAGAGAGAGAGAGAGAGAGAGAGAGAGAGAGAGAGAGAGAGACCTGGCTGGTGAGGTCGTTGATTATATGTTCAAAGTCCACGTGTGATATAGACTAAAAATGAAGTAATACATGGTACCTCGTGTTTCATACCAGCTGGATTCGGTAAAATGCTACTGACATCCACATAAGCAGCACGGGCAGTTCCCAATGAGAGGTTCACGGCGCCTACAGCTCGATGAACAGGCTTTGTGTGAAATATCACATAATCTAGAACTGCTTTTAGTGCTCTTGTGGTATGGTCGGTAGCGTTCCCTGGTCCCATGCATTAGGTCGAGGGTTCGAGTTCTGGCTGGTGAGGGTCGTTGATTATATGTTCAAAGTCCGCGTGTTATATGGACTAAAAATGAAATATATATATATATATATATATATATATATATATATATATATATATATATATATATATATATATATATATATATAACGTAACATGTAGTCGGTGTCAATTAGTTTTTATGAGTGACTTTACATTTTTTGTAGAGACTGGGATGTTGAACATATGCTTGTTTTATTAGTGGACTACCAGGGCAACCCACCATCACCATCAATACAGTCATCATTATCATCACTACTACCACCATATCCACCATCACTACCATCTCTAATACCACCACCACCACCACTACTACTACTTTGCTGTCACACCGGAATCGAGTATGACGATCATCCAGCTATGATAAAATGATAGGAGTTATTAAGTATGTCACCTTCGTTGGTGAGTTCTGAGTTGACTAGAGAGGCCGATATGGGACCAGCAGAGTCGCTCACAGATGTTGCACTTGTGGAGGGTTACATCTAGTGTGGGAGCGGCGGCGGCAGCGTCTTTCCGGCGTTGACACTTGTCTGACTCGGCCTGCCGTCAGGCTAATTCGAAAGTATTGACAACTCGTGTGGTGCTCCTCCAAGCGTTACGGTGTGGAGTAATCGTCTCCCAGGTTAGGGGGTCGATTTGGCAATTTTTCAGGTTTCTCTTAAAACTATCCTTATGCCTTTTCAGTTGCCCGCCAGCGTTACTTTTACTATTCGTCAGGTGACTGTAAGGTAGCTGCTTTGGCAGTCTACTAACGTCCATGCGGGTAACATGGCCAGTCCAAAGTAGTTGTTCATGGATAATAGTAACCTCAATGCTCCTACAGTTGGTGTCAGCAAGAATACTGGCATTTGTTCGCTCATCTTCCTGGCGAACTCGGAGGATGGAACATAGACTACGTTGGTGAAAGTTTTCAAGTGCATTGAGGTGCCTCCTCTATGACATAGTCTATGTGACCCATGTCTCGCTGCCGTAGAGCAGGGTGGGGAGGTCCACTGCTCGATATACATGCTAATTTGTAGATAATTTCAGCTCCCTACAGCTGAAGATATGGGTGCGGAATCTGCTTATTGATAGAGATGCACTTCTGATTCAATGTTGAATCTCCTCATCGATGTCTGCGGTGGTGGGCAGGTGTGGGAGCCGAGATACCGAAAGTGGGTAACTTTGGAGAGGGTGGTACCGTTAAGCTGGATGGATGGTGGAAGTGTGGCTGAACCAGGGGCAGGCTGAAAGAGAATCTGAATCTTAAGTACATTTACCTCAAGGCCGAAGTATGCATAAGCATCTGCATAGGTGGTCAGGATCTCCTCTAGGACGAATTCAGTGTGAGCGACAAGGGTGAGGTCGTCTGCATACTGAAGTTCAGTAATGGAAGCTGTAGACACCATTGTTCTTGCCTGGATGAGTCTTCTGTTAAAAAGACCCTTCATCCGGTACTCGATGTCCACCCCACCGGCTAAATTGGCATTGGCACGAGTAAGGAAGGCAGCCAAGAAAATGGAAAAGAGAGTTTGTGCCAGTACACACCCTTGTGTAACCCCTGTTTGGATAGGAAAGAACTCAGACTTGGTGTCATTGTGCAGGACACTGCCGTTCATGCCATCGTGAAGTTGCCTCACAATTGCGATTCTGGGAGGAAGTTTTCCGCCTCAGGAAGAAGTCTGTTTTGGAGGACTCGGGCGATAATCTTGCCAGCTACGGACAGCAGCGAGATTCCGCGGTAGTTGCCACAGTCTGACCGGTCTCCCTTGTTCTTATAAATATTGATGATGGAGGTGCCTTTAATAGCTTGGGGGATTTCCTCCTTTTCCCATATATTCTCCAGGAGAGAGTGGAGATGGCTGGTAAGCAGAGATCCTCCTGCTTTATACACCTCGGCTGGGATTCCATCAGGCCCTGAGGCTTTGTTATTTTTCATCTGTTTGATGGCAGTAGCTACTTCATCCAGGGATGGAGGATAGCTGAGGTGGGTCAGCTGTGGATGCTGAGGGACCTGCTGGATTGTCAGGACATTCCCGTCGGTGTTTTGGTAAGCAGCAAATGGTAGTACTCTTTCCAGTGCTGAAGGATGCCTTCTTCATCCTTAATTCGGGAGTTACTGTTGGATGAGCGGGGGCTGTGTCATGAGTTATTGGCCCATAAAATGTTTTAGTGGAATTGAAAAAAATCGCGCATCTTGTGTTGATCTGCAAGTTATTGTATTTCGCATGCGAAGTTCGCGCTGGACCGCCGCTTTTTTTCTTGTGGAAGGTATCGGCTTTGGTTCGAGACTGAGGGTTGTTCTGCCAGGCGGTTAAAGCAGCACGTTTTTCATTGAGGAGTATATTGATTTCCGGGTGGGACATATACCAATGATTTCCTTCGAACTATTGATAACAAGAGCCATCCTATTGTCCCTCGCCCGTGTGTTTATAGAGTATCAGGTGGCAGTATACCTCG